TCCACAATAGGATAGTTCCAAGAGAGAACATGTGACTGTCAAGGAACAGAGTCCACCCCATCTGTAAGTTCCAGCTACCAGGAGAGCCCAGAGCTTAGGAGACATAGCAGCTGTGTAGAGCAGGGGGTTACAAACAGCCACAGACCGGTCATAGGCCATCGCTGCTAATATGAACATTTCCACAATCACAAATGTGCAGGCAAAGAAAAATTGTGTCATGCATCCTTTGAAGGAGATAGTTCTGTCTTTCACAACTAAGATTTCTAGTAGTTTGGGTGTGACTACACTGGAATAACAAAAATCCAAAAAGGACAGATGGCCAAGGAAAAAGTACATGGGTGTCTGAAGTTTGGGATTGAGCCTTATGACCACAATCATACCCAGGTTCCCCACCACAGTGATGGTGTAGATGGCCAAGAACACCAGGAAGAGGGGTGCCTGGAGGTGTGGGAACTCTGAGAAGCCCAAGAGGACAAAAGTGGCTCCAGCACTCTCGTTTCCCTCAGTCATCATCACGGATCCTGTTGGAGGAAATCAGAGGGTTCATCCTGAGCAGCCGGATATGACAGAGACAGTAGGAATGAGGGGATGCAGACGGCTCCCAATGAGAAACACCACCGAGCGATATACAAAATAGGCACTCATGTTTTAATTTTTTGGGCCTTTTTGCTGCCTCATTTTAATTTCCCTTGGGCCACTGACTTACTATTTGAACACGGAATATTTTCTTTACCCATCAGTGACTCATTTTCTATTGCATAAAACAAGAAATGTGTGTATCGCATAAAGTACTTTTACAAATTGTACATATATGTGTGTATACTAATTGCTTGCAGTATTTCTGCCCCATATTAATAATTAAATAATTATGAACTAATATCTGAATTTCACATACAATTCTATTACCTGTGAAGGAAAAATATAACAAATTAAAGAATAACAAGGAAATATATTTTAGTTAATGGCAATAGGGCAGATTACAACTGAGATGACTCAACAGAGCCTGCCACTGGGGATTTAAACAGTGTGTTTCTGTGCTGTTACTTCATATTTGAAGACATGGGGGGACAGTAGTGCCAGTAAGTATTCTCAGTTAGAGTAGTGCTGAGCTGTCACTCCCAGTCTTGTATGAATATTTTAAAGTGTTAGCTTTTCTACAAATATCC